AATCTGTGGTCAATGACATGAGACAAAGTATATGTGAACTGCTGTATGGAAAGTGAATTCGCTCTGTAAATCTTCACCCAAATCACAATAAATAAAATTAAATTAAAAAAAAAAAAAAATCTAGAGTGTCACTTCCACCAGGAAGCCCTGTGTACTACCCTAACCCTTGTCTCACATAGTATTTTCTTTCACCTGGAACATTTATACATTTATTGGTTTATTCTACTAAGCTGCAGTCTAAGCATGAGCTGAATACCAGTGATCATAACTGAGAAAAGCTCCCTGCCCTGGTGGAGCTTACAGTCTAGTGGGGAGAATAGATGTTGAGTGTAGTCAACATGCATATGAGAATGTCATTATAACTGGGATGATTATCATGAAGGAATAAACACTGCGATTGGAGGATGGAGAATTTGGTGGAAGAACCCAATAAACCTATGGTGGTGTACTTTTAATATTTGTACATCTGTCTTCTGAAGAAAGCTTGAGAGCTTCTTGACTCTCACTCCTGTCTCCATGTCACCAGCAGCAGTGAGTGTTCAGGGATCCTGTGCATTCAGGGGTTTCATGAACTTAAACACAAAGGAGGGACCAGGAAGGTCGGCTTCTGCTGTCACCTGAAACACACCTCAAAAATGGTTCCTTGCATCTGAGTAGCTGTTTAAGCAGTTAGGGTTTGATTGAGAAAAGGATATAAGTCAATCATAATGAGGAAGATGGCCTTTGGTCAGACAGGACTGTTGGGTATTAGGGTTGTGAAGTCGATGCCTATTTTGAATCCCTGGTGAGGGCTGTTCTCTAGTAACCAATGAGGGGCAGGGAGGCAGCTCGTTGGATAAAATACCACCCAGGATATGGATAATGGCTTGATCTGGGTTCTGTTAACACCACAGTCATCTTGACTTATATAGGATTAATAAGGTATATTGAATCCTCTTTAGAAATTCTTTGGGAAGACATGTGAATACTTTGTAAGAAGTATTTCAGTTTTTTAAAAGAATCAAAGAAGTATTCAACTCTCTCGAAAAAATAAAAGTACACCTATAAGAGAACATCAACCCATTACTCCAAAATATGTTCAAGCTTAGTGAGTAACACTCAACAAGACACTATTCTCTGGGATTTATTTTCAATGTTAGCAAGATGTAATATTCTTGATGTCACAGATCCTTATGAAGATGTTTATTAATTTTTTTTCACTTAAATATTTTAAGTTCTTAAACTGAAAGATACTTTTTAAGCTCAAAGTATAATCTAAATTACAAAGATAGCCTGCAGCTTTTAAGTAAAATGAATTTGTTCCTTTTTTTTTTTTTGCTTTATTTTTCAATTTTGGTGGGTCATAGAAATATCTTATTGTGTCCGTGTGACTTAAAGTCTTGTTATGCAAGCTATTTTTTTTCTTCTTTTAATCCAAAGAGTATGGTTTCTTTAGATAAAAAAATGAAATCATTACTTACAGAACCATTAATTATTTAAGAGAAATGGTCTAAAGCACATTTGTTCATGTGGAATCAATCTCAATAATTTTATTACTCTATTATGTTTTAGCTAGTAAAACAAATATTTTAATAAACTCCAGGTGAAGATATCCCAAGATGCTTACAATCCCTTACTTTGTATTCTTAAAGTGTTTGTAGTTTGCATTAAAAAACTAAAAAAAAATTCACTGCCGAAATTCTTTTATTTATTCTTTTATAATTATTAATGCTAACAATAGACTTTTAAATGTTCGTAGGAAACATTACAATTAAAAAATGGATTATGGGAGGCTCTACCTGATTTTCTTGTTAAATGTTATTTTAAAAAGGAAAAATAATACCGTCCCATACTTTAAGGTCTGTTTTAAAAATAAGCCTGTCTTTAAACACATCTATACTGTACACTCACATGGAAATACAAACTCCTTCTTTACAGTTTCCATTACATATATCATTAGTAATAAACAGACATTTTTTCTATTAATTATGTGACAGGAAATCTTTTTGGATTAAATCTGGTAGTGTAGTACCTAAAGCACTTGACTGCTAACCAGGAGGCTGGCAGTTCAAACCCACAAGCCACTCTTCGGAAGGAAGGTTGGGCAATCTACTTCTGTAGTGATACCACCTCGGAAACCCAAAGGAGGGGTCGCTATAAGTCTGGCCAACTCGAGGGCACATAACAACAACAACATATAAAATATCAGAGAATGGTGCTTTATCAATTTAATAAATTTTTAAAATTATTTTTAATTCCAAAATATTTCATGAAATAAATAGTTGCTTACTGACTTAATTTAATAGATGGCTAGAAACGCTGGCTCAAATTTACCCTCATTGAAGTCAGAAGTAAAGTTATCGGTTAACATTTAATTTCCTTTATACTAAACTTTGCTTCTCCTAGTGCCCTTTTTTTTCCCCCTTAATACAGTCTGTTCCCTATGGAGCAGTTCTACTGTGCACATATGGGGTCATGTTGAGTCACAGTTGACTCGACAGTGAACAACAACGACAATAACAACATTTCTGAGAGGACAGTAATTCAATTCTCCTTGAAACCTTAGAGTGATTGAATCCACATGATTTGCTCCCTGCAAACTAGGTGCCTGGGGGATAGGAATTTTGAAAGGGGCCAGAACCAGGAAGCAGGATTGCTGCAGGGTGGACCCAGAACAAAGTATGATGGTCTCTGATTGTATCCTGCAAATATCACATGTTTCTGGGTGGCAAATGTGTGTCAGAGTTACATATGAATGTTCTGACATGCCAGAGGTTTTAGCCTGGGGTCTTTCTCTGTTAACTTAAGCACAGTGATCAAAAGGTTTACGTTGGTCTAATTTATTCATTCCTTCCATGAAAACTTGGCAATGAGAAAGAGGCATGTTGAAATGCTGACTGAAGTGCAATGAAACAAAAATTAATTTATCCTTCACTATTGTGTGTTTCAGAGACTGGAGCACAAGGAAGTTTTGGTGGGCTTGTTATTCCTGGTTTTCCCGTTCATTCCAGCCAGCAATCTCTTCTTCAGGGTGGGTTTTGTGGTGGCCGAGAGAGTCCTTTACATGCCTAGGTAATTATTGCACATGATTTGCTCTTTAACGAGACCTGCCCTCTGTCACCAACATTTATAGTTCCAGAGAGATGGTCCTGTGTGTATAACAATTATATCCTTGTGGAGCCAAGGTTTTCATTACCTCAGCTTTAAAAACCGCCACACACAAGGTTGGATGAAATCAAGTTTATAATGGTTTACCTCTAGTTGAAAGCTTCAATGTGAAATGCCTACTTGAATATATTCGGGATTTTAGCAGCAGTTGTTTACAAAATGTCTTTGTCCAAACATCTATGTTTTATTAAACATAATTACAGTTCAGGAATATTTATTGCATAAAATTATTAATTATGTTAAGTAGCATAATTATAATTAATCTCTACCTATCTTCTGCCTAGGAGCTCTGGTAGCATAGTGCCCGGCACTTGACTGCTAACCAGAAGGCTGGTGGTTCAAACCCACCAGCCTCTCCTCAGAAGGAAGATGGGGCAATCTACTTCCGTAGTGATACTGCCTTGGAAACCCAAGGAGGGGTCGCTATGAGTTGGGTCCGACTCGACAGCACATAACAACAACAACATCTTCTGCCTACCTTCTTGCTTTGGTTTCTTCCTTCATTTTTGTCTTTCCCTCTTTTTTTAAAAATTATGATTTGGGTGAAAGTTTACAGAGTACATTCATTTTCCATGCAGCAATGCATAGATATTTTGTTTCATGACACTGAAAGCAATCCCCATAATGTAACAATCTCTTCCTATTTCCTCCCTGTACTTACCTCTTCCCAGTTTCCTTCTTTTTATGTTTCTTTTCTGTTTAATTAAAAATGGGAACCGTCTCCAAAACACTTATCCTTGAGAAAAAAAACTGTTGAAAAATTATAAAGAGCATTCAGATTTGTGTGATGAGGTGATATGGACTTACCTCTGAATATCTGAACTGTGCTGAAGCTTGTCTGTTCTTTTGTCTTATTCACATGTCATCATTCCAAGGCCACATTTCTCTTCAGATGCCTGGAAATGGCCCTGAATCAGACAAAAAAAAAAAAAAAAAAAGTACCGTCGAGTTGGATCCGACACATAGCAACCCCTCCTTGGGTTTCCGAGGCAGTATCACTACAGAAATAGATCACCCAGCCTTCCTTCCAAGGAAGGCATTCTTAATTCTATTATTTATTGATTATGTGACCTTGAAGAAGACACAGAGTTTCTTTGCACCCAGGTTGTCTCATTTTTTAAAATAGAGAATTTAATAAACGCTAAATTACATACTTTTATGAGCTTGTATATATATACATGCATATATATATATTTTGTAAAGGGCAGTATTGTAAACAAAAGTGTTTTAAGGAAATCATTTATTTATGATACTGAGCTAGATGTTTAAAAATCATGTAATTAGAAATGAATGTCATAATACTTGATTCTTCTAAAACCAGGGACTTAACACCATTCTTGAGTCTTTGTAGTATCTTGTTTTAACTTAATTAAGAGAAGGGCAACCCTTAATTTGCTTTATGTGTCCTCAGTACAATTTGAGAAGTAAATTATTGCTTACAAAGTACTATTTGATACAGATAAACATACAACACTAATATGATAGCAGTCTTATGAGGCTTTGCCAAAAGCAAGGAATATGCCCGTATTATAGAAGGGCAAAATAGAGTATCAGTCTCTGTTCTAGATGTTTTTGCGTTAAGCCAGGTCCAAGTAGCTTGAATCAGCTTTTTTTTTCTCTGTGGTATTGACATTCCCAAGTAGAATCTATATTTATTCTCCATTCAAAATATATTCTTAGAGCACATTTGCTAGACATGGTATGCTAGAATCTGATACTACAAAAACAAGTGAACCTCACTATCTGCCCTCAAAGAGTTTATCAACTGCTGACTAACACAATGCCACCATTCACTCTACATAAACATTTTGCACATCCTAATATCATTTAGAAGGAGCTCTGGTAGCGTAAGTGCCTAAGGCACTTGACTGCTAACCAGAAGGCTGGCGGTTCAAACCCACCAGCCACTCCTTGGAAGGAAGGTTGGACAATCTGCTTCTGTAGTGATACTGCCTCAGAAACCCAAGGAGTCAGGTCTGACTTGATGGCACACAATAATAACACCAACAACAATATCATTTAGAGAAACTCTGGTGGTACAATGGTTATGCACTCAGCTGCTAACCAAAAGGTTGGGAGTTCAAACCTACCAGCTACTCTGTGGGAGAAAGATGTGGCAGTCTGCCTCTGTAAAGATTTATAGCCTTGGAAACCTCATGGGCCAAGTCGATCCCGACTCATAGCGACCCCTCTTTGGGTTTCCGAGGCGGTATCTCTACAGAAGTAGATTGCCCAATCTTCCTTCTATGAGTCAGAACCAATTCAGTGGCAACAGGTTTGTTTTTTAATATCCTTTAAGAGTCCTTGGAGCTCTGGTGGCAGAGTGCCTAAGGCATTTGACTGCTAACCAGAAGACTGGTGGTTCAAACCCACCAGCCACGCCTCAGAAGGAAGACTGGGCAATCTATTTCCATAGTGATACTGCCTTGGAAACCCAAGGGGGGTCACTATCAGTTGGATCTGACTTATCCGACCGTGGTGGGTTTGGTTTTTGCTTTAAGAGTCCTTGGAATGGGTGGAGCAAGATAGCAAAGTTCCCCCAGCAACTAACTCACTGAACAATGAATAAAAGCAAGCACAGACAGATCTCAGAACTCTGTATGGCAGCTGGGGTGTTAGAGAGTCGGAATGAGTACAGAAGTAGACAGAGGAGGAGGGGACAGTACAGAAGCTGAGAGAACATACCCACCAAGATCATGCGCACTTGTTCTTTGCAGCCATATTGGGACAGGGCTGGGCAATACCCCAAAAAGGGAACACAGAAAGGAGGCTAATCTGAGGAAGATGTAGCCTGATTTTTTCAGCAGTACAAATTGGCCATGTGAGTTCATGGTCAGTTCATGGCAACTGGGAGGAAGTAAAGGGAGATTGTGGTTCTGCAAGAGAATGCTCTTGCTCTTGAATGTTACTGAGGTCTGATGACAGATGGGCACTAGGACTGGGAGGAACTGCAAGGGCAAGAGGGGAGGGAAGTATTTCAAACTGGCAGGTGACACAGAGGGAGCCAGTGGCTGGCTCCCTACCCACAGAGGGACAACTTGGGCACCTGTGCAAAGATGCCTGTAAGGGAAAGACATAGAGAGCACCCCACTTTCACCACAGGGAAGTTGAGCTCCACCACTTATGTCAGTATCTGCAACCAGCTACAACCCCCACTACACCCAAGTATGCATATTGAAAATCAAGCATCCAGATTTTTTTAATCAGGACTGAATAAAAAAAAACCTAAGAGTGACTTCTAGTCATTCTCAGGAGAAAATAATAAGCCAATTGACAGTAGATTGATTCTGACTCATAGAGATCCTATGGGGCAGAGTAGAGCTGCTCCATGGGGTTTCCAGGACTGTGAGCCTTTGTAGAGGCAAGCTGCCACATCTTTCTCCAGGGACATAAGGACACAAACAGACTGAAAGTAAAAGATGAGAGAAAATTATTCCATGTGATCAGTAAACAAAAAAGAACAGGGGAGCCATACTGATATCACATAAAATAGATTTTAAAACAAAATCTATTACAGGAGATAAAGAAGGACATCACATAATAGTAAAAGGGTCAATCTAGTAAGAAGACATAGCAATTATAAATACATATGCACCTAAGAGCAGTGCACCAAAATACATGAAACAAATACTAATATGAAAGGAGAAATAGACAACTCTATGATAATAAATAGTAGGAGACTTCAACACACCACTTTCAATTATAGACAGAACATTTAAAAAGAAGATCACTAAGGACATTGAGAACTTAAATAAAACCATAAGCCAATGGAACCTAATGGAAATATATAGAACACTCCCCACAGCATCAGAACAATACACATTCTTCTCCAGTGCACATAGATCATATTCTAGAATAGGCCATATGCTCAAACACAAAACAAGTGTCAATAAATTTTAAAAGATTGAAATTATACTAATCATCTTCTCTGACCTTAATGAAGCTAGAAATCAACAACAGGAAAAATAAGGAAAAAAAGATAAACACAAAAATAATATACTACTAAAAAGACTGTTAGGTCATAGAAGAAATCAAAAGTGAAAAATTTCCTGCAATCAAACAAAAATTAAAGAACAACATATCAAAACCTTAGGGAAACAGCAAAAGCAGTACTCCCAGGGAAATTCATAGCCATAAACTGTCTTTATTAAAAAAAGAAGAAAGATCCAAAGTCATTAACTTAAACTGACAACTTAAACAAAGAAGGAAGAGCAAAAGGCACAAAAAGCTACTAAATAATAATAATAATAGTAATGATAATCAAGGAAGAAATAGAAAAACAATAGAAAAATCAACAAAGCCAGAAGTTGGTTCTCTGAAAGGATCAATGAAATAGACAAATTACTGGCTAGATTTACCAAAAAGAAAAACAGAAGAGGCAAATAGCCAAAATAAGAAATGAAATTGCTGATGTTATAGCTGACCCAACAGAGATTTAAAAAAAGATCCTAACTGATAACTATGAAAATTTGTATTCTCACAAACTTGAAAACCAACTGAAGTAGAAATTCCTAAAAATATACTACCTACCCAAACTTGTTGGCAAACAACAACAACAGCCCAAACTAACATTAACAGAGGTAGAAATTTTAAACAGACCCAATTCAAAATAAGAGATTGAAGATGTCATCAACAAAACTGCCAGCAACAACAACAAAAGCCCAGGACCAATTGACCACACTAGGAAATTCTACCATTCAGAGAAGACTTGACACTAACTTTACTCAATCTCTTCAAACACAAAGAAGAGGAAAGAATACTACCAAACTCTTTTTATGAAGTCAGCATACCTGTGATTCTTAAACCAAAAGGCAAAAATATCACAAACAAAGAAAATTACAGAATAGTGATGAGACTGCTTAATGTAACATGCATAGACCTGGAGGGCATAATGCTAAGTGAAA